CCCAGCAAGCACTCTACCAGTGAGCTAACTCCCCAACCCCTTCATTTTTTTTTTTTTTTTTATTTTTTTATTTTAAGGCAAGGTTGCCTCCCAAGTGCCAGGACTAACAGGCAAAGAACCACCACACTCGACTTTCTGAGGGTTAGGACACTTGGGGGCTCCTGACCTTATAAAATTCCCTCCTTCAGACAGCCTGGTCCAGATGCTCACAAGCCTGGCTTCATCTGAAGACCCCAGCCCAAAGCAGCAGCAGCAAGAACAGACTTGCCTGAGCCTCCCTCCCCCAGTCTGAGGTGCTCACAAAATTGAAGGTGGGTGGGGATAGGGCCCCCCCTCTAAAGGTCAGCTCCGAATCAGGAGTCAGCCACATAGAGACTTGGCCTCTGGAGGGATGTTAAGTGCCCATCTTCTTCCTCTCTGAAACACAGGGCCTGCCACCGCCCCCCAAACACCCTTGCAGGTCCCTCAGCTGTCACTGTTTAGTGCTGGAATGACAGGCGTCCAGATTCCGTGAGTCCAGCCACGTTCAAGGCCATTGAGCTTAGCGCTCTTTGCCCCCGCCCCCCCCCCATCAGTCGCTAATTTTATTGGCCTGTAAAAGGCACGTTCCTGGCTAGGGGGGTGGGGAAGGGGGATAACTCAGGGCACAGTGGGGAGTGGACAAGCAGAAGACACCCGTGAGGAAGGACAAGGACTCCCGAAGGGGCTCTAAGAGAGCCCTTCTTTTTTACTCAGAGCTAAGATGGATGCCCAAAAGAGTGGAAGAGACATTTTAGCCCTCAGCCAGAAAAGACTGGGAGAAGAGAGAATGAACTATTTTCCAAGCACTCTGAGGCAGGCAAGGATGAAGCAGGAGAGATGAAGGTTGGATAGCAGGAAGAACTGTCATCCTTTTATCACATCTCTACCCTAACCCTTTCCTCCCCCCTTGAAGGTGACTCCTGCCTGCTGGGCCTCTTACTACAGAAATAGCCCTTTCCCTGAAGAATCAACCTAGATCTTGCCTCTCTTAAAATGAGAGCAAAAAATTTAGGCCTTTGTGATTCTCCCTATTCCATGCCTACCTCATCCCAGCCCTCAAATTGTCAGGTTCTCTTCACCCGGTGAGAAGGGGGGATAGGAGGGGGGTGGCGGGGTTAGAACCTGTTACAGCAGAGAGCACACACAATGGCCTTACATTCTTGAAGGGCCTCGAATTGAGGCTTTTTAGATCTGGGAATGGAACCCAGAGCCTCTTTCGTGCTAGGCATGTTCTCTGCCTGTGAACCCTGCCTTCAACACCTCAGATTTATCCTGCTGCTGATCTACATGAGGGTCGAACAGACACGGAAGAGTTTTTTTTTTTTTTTTTTAGACTGGATCTCATGTAGCTCAGCCTGGCCTCAAACTCACTATGTAGCCAAGGATGACCTTGAACTTAAACTAGTTGTTTTGTGTGTGTGTGATGTGTGTGCAGGAGTACACTACAGGCATGTGAGGAGGTCAGAGAACAATCTGGCAGGAGCGGTCCCCTCCTGGGAACACTTTACCCATTAAACTGGGGCTTTTTCTAATTTGGTCTGATTTGGATTGCTAGGTCAGCAAAGAGGCCTATTGGGGTGCAAAAAAACTTATCATCTGGAGGGCCACCGAAGAGGGGTTGATTGTCCTCCAAATCATTGCCTAAGAGGCCCAAGGCCTCTTCAAATTTTGGGGTGTCCTGCCAAAGATGCAGCCGCACCAGGCCCCCGACCCATTCCGGAGTAAAGAGCTGCCTTTGTTCTGTAGGACCCCTTCTCCAGAAGATGTTCTGTTGAAGGGAATTTCCCACACACCCCATTTTTTTGACCCAAGACTTACCACAGTGGATGCATTGTGCTATACTTCGGGTCCCCAGCATAGACTTAAGAAATGGGCACTTGCCATTCAAAGCCTGATCCCCAAATGCCCCTGCAGTGTCTTTTACAAAATCTATCCAAATTGGGACTATCTGATACCATCTGTCCTGAACGTTTGACTTCTCTGAGCACTGAGGCCTAGCCACAATATGCTCTCGAAACAGTCAGGTGGCCTCCTGAGGGAACCTTACAATTCTCCATCCTCCCCGATCTTGAAAATTTTTCTCAGCTTGGAGATAATTGGACAGAATTGCCCTACGTCCACGGTTTTTGGGGTCTGCGTTCCCGCCCTCCTCCCTACAGAGGCCAGCGTCCCACAGCATTAGTCTTGTTGGCTAGGGTCATGGCATCTCCAGATTCCCGCCTATCTGGGAACTGGGATCCTGAAAATTCCACTCTGACCATGCTGCCAGGGATACTGGCTCCTCCCCCACTTCCTCAAACTCTACTTACCTAACCACCTCTTACAGGGTCACATGTTCCATTCAGTGGCCAACACACCTTTATTCACCCCTCCTCCTTCTCCCCCTCCGGGACAAAGGTAGAAGTCTTACCCGCCTTCCTTTCCCCCCCTTTCCCTTCTTCCCCCTCCAGAATAAATTTCTCCTCCTTACCCACCTTCCCAGTGCCTCAATCTACATCCGGGTCCCCTCTACACACTGGCCTAATGCCCCTGAATCTTCCCTGGTTTCTTCTCATACTGGGTCTCGCCAGACTTCTGCCCTCCTCTGCCCTCTCCAAGAGGTAGCTGGAGCCGATGGAATCATTCAAGTCCCCAGAGAAGAGACCTCATGGTGTGTTGACTCCTCTGAGGTATGGAAATGGTCTCAGACAAAGTTGTTAATTTTGATAAGCTCTGAGAGATTACTCAGATAGCTGACGAAAACCTGGCCATTTTTCTGAACCGGTTTCAAGAGACCGTGGTTCAATATACTGGCCTTGACCCAGGCTTCCCAGCAGGAGCCACGGTCCTGCCCACCCATTTCATTTCTCAGGCTGCGCCAGATATTAATAAATTAAAAAAGGCTGAGGAGGGTCCCCAAACTGCCTTACAGGAATTGGTAAAAATGGTTTTTAAAGTTTTTAATGATAGTCGAGTCACCCTAATAGACAAGGCTGCAACAGAATATGCTCCAGGCCCAAGCTTTAGCAGCTGCCCTGAGGTCACCAGGGCCCACAAGGGGGACAAGGGAAGTCAGCCATGAGGCTCCATCCCACTGGAGCTCAGCCTACGTCAACTCCGCCAAGCAAGGCCACTGGTCACAGTATTGCCCTGACCCCCAGCTGTCCAGGAAGCCATGCCCTGTCTGCCAAACAGCCTGGGCACTGGAAATCAGAATGCCCCCATGCAGGCTCATCCTCTACACCATGCCATGGAGGTCCAGACTCACCAACACCGGCATCTGAGACTCTTCTGGCCTTTGAACTCCTAGGCCTGGCAGAGGACTGATGCAGCCTAGACCTGCTGGCTCCCATCGCCCTCTCCGAGCCTAGGGTGATGCTGCAGGTAGCGGGTAAGTCCGTTGACTTTCTTCTGGACACAGGAGCTACCTATTCTGTTTTGACATCTCACTCGGGTCCTATAGTTCCTTCGCCAATTTCTGTCATAGGGTGGACAGGATCCCTTCCTTCCCACTTAAGACCCTGACCCTTCCCTGCATTCTTGCAGGGTGATTCTTACACTCTTTTCTGGTCATACCTGCTGGCCCTGCACCTCTGCTTGGTCACAATATTCTCAGCCGCTTTGGGGCCACACTCATCTTGGCCCCCACACCCTGAGTATTTCACAGGTCCATTCACAGGGGCCCTCCAGATACGACAGCCTCTGCATCAGCTTTGAGGACACCAACCAGGTGAGGATTGGCAGTGTCATGGAGCTCTTATTGGAATCTCTCAACATCTCCTGGAAGCTCCACATTCCCTATCACCCACAATCCTCGGGAAAGGTTGAGAAGGCCAACGGACTCATCAAACAGCTCACCAAGCCCTCCTTTGAACTCAGGTTATCTTGGCCCTCCCTTTTCCCCAACCGCCCTTACCCACCTCTGGGGCACCCCACACTCTCCTGCAGGCTTGAGCCCTTTTGAGCTCCTTTACAGAAGGCCCTTCCTCCTCAGTCACCACCTCCCAGCCCAAACTCCCCCACTGGCCGGGTACCTCCCCTACCTCTCTCTTCTGAGGTCCCTTCTCTGTTCATATGCTGACAGCTATCTCCCTGTCCCAACACCAACAGACCCAACAGCCTGCCCCACTCTCCCTGGGGGACAGAGTGCTCCTCAAACAGCTAGCTCCCAAGTCTCTTGAGCCCCGATGGACAGGACCTTATACTGTGATCCTCACCACCCCTTGACTGCCAAGCTCCTGGGACATCCATGCTGGTACCATCTCTCCAGGCTCAAGTGGGCACCTATTCAGGATACATGGTCTGTCCGGCAGCTGGGACCCTCCACCTTCTGGTTTCCCAAGATGTCCCAATGAAGGGCCTATCTGCTCTTCTGCTCTGTGCATTCATCTTTGCAGGACAGATGTTAATACTTTTTTTTCTTAGAATCTTGCCTTCTCTGCTTCAAGAAACAGGTGCCTGAGGTATCCAGGATGACAATTAACCAGAGGCTCCTCCACTCACACCTCCTGCTGAATGTGAGCCCACCAACTCCCCCGCTTTTCTCATGTCACCCCATGCCTACAGAAGTATTCAGACTTGAACCAGCGCCCCTAGACCCAAAGAGTCTGGCATGTTCTGGTGGAAGATCCACCTCAACTCCCCTCCCCCATTTCTTTCCCCAAACCCACCCCTTCAAAGCCCTCCAAACACAGCTCCCCCAGAGAGGCTCAAGACCACTCCCACAGGGTATTTAAGCTGCATCCCAGAAAACAGACACATGGTTCTTCTGGTCTCTCGTCCCCGTCTCCCCTCTGGGGGGCCAGAGAATCACCCGGGAATGCTTTACCCATTAAGCCAGGGCTTTTTCTAATTTAGTCTAATTTGGATTGGTGCATCAGTAGAGAGGCTTATCGCCAGCCGGGGGGATGGGGGGTGGCGGGGGTGGGGAGTGGCGGGGGGTGTGTGTGTGGGTCAGACTTATCAAAGGGCCTCAAAAAAGAAAAACAAAAACCCAGAAGTTGCCTTGGCAAGGTAGGTATGTTGTGATTCCTAGTACCACATGGCACATCAATTCTTCTGCATCAGTTTCCCAACTCCATCCAATGTATATAAGAATATCTGGGGCAGAATAAAGGGTACTCCATTCCCCATGACTACAGTACTTCCCAGGGGGAGGAGAATGGCCTGTTGAACTACCCTGCCCCCTGCAGCCTGAGTTAGGTATTACAGCCACAAGGGGTCAGTCCAGCGAGAGATCAGCCAGGCTCTGGGTGCAGTCCCGCAGGATGTCGAAGTCAGGTACTGAGAAGGGGACCCGGGACCACTTTTTGGCCTGGATCTTCCCGTGAGGGGTCTCCAGGAGCATGCTTCGGATTTTGAGCACTGGCAAGGTCACTGATTTGTAGATCATCTGTAAGCCCCAGACCTGGCGGTGGAACAAACAGCAACATCTGGGTTTCTGGACTCAAACTGGACTTCTGTGATGACCAGACCTGTATCTACCACCTGAGGCCATCAGGCAGTGGGCTCCCTAGGACAGGACTAGAGCATAGACTGTGGGTCTCCCACACAGGGCTGGCTGCCACGCTGGGTGAGGGCCTCTGGAGCTGGGGCTGAGGGCTCTTTGGGCTGGGCTCTAACTACTTACCTCCCCACAGTTACTGCAGTTAATGGTCCCCCCCTGGCCTCCAGTCCTTGAAGACCTTGTTAATGACCACAGGCTTCTGGGAGATGGTATAGTAGACCCTAGAGGGGATGAAGAGAGCCCTTCTGGAGCCCCTGTACCCTAGACTTTATGCCCCGTAGCTGGCTGAGCCCCTGCGAGGGCATTAGGCTTTTCTGCCAGTCAAGATACAGAACATCCCAGAACCAGGAAGTCTAGACATCAGAGGTTCCGCCTACCCTGTCTGCATGCTGTTCCCACTTTTGGGAAGTTTCCTCATGGATCTCCTCCTTCATCCATATTTCTAACCCCAAGCCACCTCCCATCACCTGACAGAGTGTCCTAGAAACATTCATCCCTCTGACATTCCCTGGCTCAGAATGCAGCCAAGGCTCCTAACTGCCTCCTGGATACAGGTTTAATTTTTAGGCCCAACCTTCAAGATGCTCCATGAGCCGGTCTGTCTTCATCCTGAATCCCATCACTCCCATCTTCCTCTCAGGGTAACTGTGATCCCTCACCTCTGCCTAGAGTCATCTTCCCATGTTCAAACCCCACCACCCTCCTTCTCCTACCTATGTGAAATTCTCCCTCAAATGGATCCCACGTGAAGAACCCTGGCACCATGGCCTGACACACGGGAGGTGTCTAATAAACAGTTACTTAATGAATGTTGTAAGCAGAAGTAAGGCTACCCTTTAGGAGGTAGAATGGGGGGGGGTGTCTCAGCAAGAGGGGGAGAGCTAGAGCTCTTTGATTTAATTTAATATGTGTATGACGGGTCAGGAAGGTGTGTGTGCCCCCAAGCTCCTGTGGAGGTCAGAAGGTAACTTTTGGGAGTCTCTCTCCCTCTACCATGGGATCTAGGACTCAAGCTCAGGCCATCTGGATTTTGAGACAGGGTCTCATGTAGCCCAAGATGGCCTCCAACTCGCTATGTAGCTGAGGATAACCTTGACCTACTGCCTCTATTTCCAGAGTGTTGGGTTACAGGTTCATACTACCATACTCAGTTGCCCGGGAACCCACAAGACTTTGTGCATTTTAGGTAAGCATTCTACAAACAGAGCTACATCCCTAGCACCCCCCCAACTCACTATGAAGACCAGGACCCTTCTCTTTTTGAGTCCAGCCTGGCCTCGAACTCTTTGGGTGGCCAGCCAAGGATGACACCTTGAATTCTTATCTCCCAGGTACTGAACTACAAGCGTGTGTACCACCACCACACCCAGCTGCTGCTGCTGCTGCTTTTTTTTTTTTTTCCCTTTTTCTTTTGAGATGGAGGCCTTTCTGTTGCCTGGAATGACTCTGAACTCCTAGGCTCAAGTAATTCCTCTGCCTCAGCCTCCTGAGTAGCAGAGACAGGCCGCCTCATCTGACAGTTGGACCTGTCTTGTATGTCCCGAAAGTAGGTAGGACCAAGGAGTTAGTTTGTAGCTAAATTCTTTGTATCCTAAATTCCGGTTCTCTTGCAATCACATAACGGCTCCAGGGGCTTAAACAAGACTCCACACCGCTGCCTCCTCACTTGTGGGATGGGGCTGCACTGTTCGCTAACATGCTCATTAGCCTCCTACACCCTGCAAAAGTCCTTCCTCATCCTGCCGGCCCTCCCCATGGCTCTCACGAGAAGTTGGGGTTCACATTGACGTGGTGGGTGCCCTCCACCTTCCGCAGGTCACTCCCGTAGCCCACAGCCACCATGCAGTTGATGCAGAGGAGCTGCACGCGCTCCGGTGGGAACTGCCTCTGCTGGCGCTCCCGCTGGGCTGTGCGCGCCGCTCGCTTGGCCAGAGCTTCCAGCTGCAGCTCCTGGATCTGGGGGGGGCCAGCGGGGAAGAAACAAGACATGGACGTGGACACCAAGGGACCCAACCTCTGGAAAGCCCCCAGGGTTCCCAAAGACCCCAGGCCATTTATCATTTGTACCCAGACCCAGAAGGGACTTGGTTTTTTGGTTTTTGGGGTTTTTTTTTTTTTTTTTTTTGAGACGAGGTCTCTTTCTGGACCTGGAGCTCCCTGATCCAGCTAAGCTGGCTGGCCAGCAAGCCCAGAGATCCCCTTGTCTCAGTCTTCCCAGAGCTGAGATCCCAGGACCGCTTTGCTGTCCCCAGGTTTGTACTGGACTGGGAATCTGAATTCAGGTCCTTGTTCTTGTGTGGCACCTCACTGACTGAGCCCTTTCCCCATTCCCATGAATTCTGAAGCTTTGCGAACAAAGATTTGGGGACAGGGGACAGCCTTTGTGCTGACTCTATGTTCTCCCCTTGGAAAAGGTCATGCAAAGCTTCATTATTTATTTATTATTTATTAATGTATTTATTTGGTTTCTCGAGACAGGGTTTCTCTGTGTAGCTTTGGCGCCTTTCCTGGAACTCACTCAGTAGACCAAGCTGGGCTCAAACTCAGAGATCCACCTGCCTCTGCCTCCCAGGTGCTTGGAATAAAGGCGTGCGCCACCACTGTCTGCCACTCTCCCCCCCCCCCCCCCCCTTTTAAAGACAGATTCTCATGTATCTCCAGTTGGCCTCGAACTTGCTGTGGTAGCCAAGGATAAGGGCAAACCTAGGACAAGGCCTGTTTCTAAGGCTATGTGGAGGACAGGCCTTACCCTCTCTGGCAATGTTACCCTGGCCTTGATCTTTCTCTGCATGGTGTAAAAGTTCCCTGGATAGAGCCGGGGAAGAGGGGGGGGGACCCCAGGAGTGTGTGGATGCTGTCAGCAGCAGACTGCCTACTGACCTTGGCCTTGAACTCTTTGGGGTCCATCTTCTGTACTGCAGTCACTGCCTGCTCCATCAGCACCTCCAGAGCCTCATTGGTCAGCTCCCGCCGCAGCTCCCGACTGTCCTCTGTTGCCACAAAGGAGTACACACTCTGCCCAGCTCGAGCGCGGCCCCGGGCCTGTGAAGAACAACACAGGAGAGGCAGAGGTAGGCTGGGCTCCCTGCGGGATCTTTCCGGGGCTGGTGTAGTGGACAGGAGGGCTGTAGAGTACCTGGACCATGGAGATCTCATTGGTCAGGAGCCCATAGCGCACCACCACACTGCACTTGGCGATATCCAGCCCCTCCTCTGCCACACTTGTGGCCACCAGAAGGTTCAGGATACCATTCCTGAACTGGTGGATCACTTCTTGCTGGTCTTTCTGTTGAAGGATTTGGGGGAGGAAGAAAAGGTTTATACAAACTCAGAGTCCCAGCTCTGTCCCCAGGTATCCCCAAGATCTTGCCCATCTTCCCTAGTGACCCCAATCCCTAGGGTCTCGGTCTCTCTCTCTCTCTCTCTCTCTCTCTCTCTCTCTCTCCTCCCCTCCCCTCCTCTCCCTCTCCAGCCCTACCTCTCTTCCTTCCCCACTTTAAAAGACAGATTCTGACTATCTCAGGCTGGCCTTGAACTTGCTGTTATAGCCAAGAGTGACCTTGATCTTCTAATTCTCCTGCCTCTACTGTCTATCTTCTGAGTACTGGGATTAAATTGTACTACCACGCCTGGCTTACAGCTCTGTGCTTGTTAGGCGAGCATCCTACCAACTGAGCTAGAGCTGGAGCCCTTTTCCTAGTGACTTCTAAAAGTCCCTGCCTGGTCTCTATTCTCCCACATTCCTGACCCTCTGCCCTGAGAAGCCATATCACTCACTCTCTTTTCCTCATGCCTTTGGGCCCTGCTACTGCATTCCCTGGGGACCCTCAGGCAGGGGTGGAGGGTGGTAGGGGTGGTCTGTTTATCCCAGCTCTCAGATTCCTTCCCTAGGAAGATTCGTGTCCTCCCTCCCCAGAGCCTTCCTGCTATCACTCTGAGCTGATGACCCTGTCCCCCCTCTTCCCTATGAAATGCCTCCAGCCAAAACCAAACACCTGGGTCATGTGTGTGCTCTGGCTGGTATTCCCTGCTCCAATCAGCATCTGGGCCTTGATATTCATATTCTGAAGGCCAGGCTGCTGCCAAAGCCAGAGCAGGAGGGAGTGGGCACTCTGGCGGGTTCGGGTGAAGATGATGCCCCGAGGGTGGTTGGGACTCCCAAATTGCTTCAGCAGGATCCCTTCCAGCATCTCCAACTTCGGATTCTCAGGTCCCTGAGCTGCTAATTGGGCCAGCTCATTCTTATGGCCTGAGAACACCAAAACAGGCACAGGGTAGGGGGTGGGTGGGTGAGGGGCATGTAAGGCCTGGGTGTGGACAGGGTGCTCACAGGGACAGGGCTATAGGAGGAAAGAACACCTGCTCCTGTTCATTCCCTGAGCTCTTCCAACAACACACTTAAGGACATACTTTCCACTTACTCTCAAGGCCAGCCTTACACAAGACATTCAGTATAGAATCCATTGCTCGTGTACACCAGACCAGCACCCCTTCTCAGTCCCTCCATTAGGACCTTTAATGTTGGTTTGGTTTGGTTTGGAGACAGGCTTTCTCTGTGTAGCCCTGGCTGTCCTAGAACTTGATCTGTAGACCAGGCTGGCCTTGAACTCAGAGATCCACCTGCCTCTACCTTGAGTGCTGGGATTAAAAAGGCGTGAGTCACCACCATCTGACTACTAGGTAGGACCTTAGAAACTGTTTCAGTTTTTTTCAGACAGGCTCTCATGTAACCCAGGCTGCCCTTAAACTCACTATGTAGCCAAGGATAATTTCTGGTCCTGCTTTCTCTTCCTTAATTCTGGGATTACAGTCATAGGTGACTGGGCCTTTGTGCATGCTAGGTAAATGCTCTAACTACTAGGCTGCATCCAGCCCCACCCTTGGGCTTTTTTTTTCTTTCTTTCTTTCTTTTCTCCCCCAGTCCCACAGGGTTTCTCTGTGTAGCCCTGGTTGTCCTGGAACTCGCTCTGTAGACCAGCCTGGTCTTGAACTCAGAGATCTGCCTGCCTCTGCCTTATGAGCGTTGCTGGGATTAAAGGCATGTGTTGTTCGTTTTTTGGCTCTTTTTTAGGGGGCCCGCCACCCAGCTCCCAAATAAATCACACATGGTAGCTTATTCTTAATTATAAATGCCTGGCCTTAGCTCGGCTTAGTTTCTAGCCAGCTTTCCTTAATTTATTCTGTCTACCTTTTGCCTCTGGGCTTTTCCCATTCTCTTACTTCTGTAAATCTTACTCTTACTCTGTGGCTTGCTGTGTAGCTGGGTGGCTGGCCCCTGGAGTCCTCCTCCTCCTCCGGCTACTTCATTCTCTCTTTCCAGATTTCTCCCTCTATATATCCTCTCTGCCTGCCAACCCCGCCTATCCTTTCTCCTGCCTTGCTATTGGCTGTTCAGTTCTTTATTAGACTACCAGGTGTTTTAGACAGGCAGTGTAACACAGCTTCACAGAGTTAAGCAAATACAACATAAACAAAAGTAATGTACCTTAAAATATTCTACTACAGGCGTGGGTCACCACTGTTGGGCCTTTGAGCTTTCAAACTTGTACCAGGATAGCTTCAAGCTAGATTTTTTTTGTACTACGTGTGTGTGTGTGTGTGTGTGTGTGTGTGTGTGTGTGTGTGTGTGTGTGTGTGGTGTCTTCTATCACTCTCAACCCTTATTTTTAAATTTTTATTTTTATTTTATTTTATTTATTTATTTTTTTTTGGTTTTTTGAGACAGGGTTTCTCTGTGTAGCTTTGCGCCTTTCCTGGAACTCACTTGGTAGCCCAGGCTGGCCTCGAACTCACAGAGATCCTCCTGGCTCTGCCTCCTGAGTGCTGGGATTGGTGGCGCACACCTTTAAATTTTTATTTTTTATTGTCATATATGTCCATGGCATGTGTTCATGGGTATGTGCACCATGGCACGTGTGTGCAGAGTGTAGATTTCCATTCTTTCCTTCCCCCTTTACACGAGTTTGAGAGATCAAAAGTTTGTACAGCAAGAATATTTAACCAATAAGCCATTTACACTATTATTATTATTATTATTATTATTATTATTTGCCACAGGGTCTCCTACTGAAACTAGAGTTCACCTACTTGTCAAGATGAACTGCCCAGCAAGCCCCAGGGGTCCAGGTGTCCCCACTGCTTCAGTGCTGAGATGTCAACTCCGCTGCACCTGATTTTTAAGTGGCTGCTTGGGATTTGAATCCAAGTCCACATGCTTGTATGGGAAGCCCTTTACCTACGGAGCCACCCTAAGTGGTTTTAAAAATATCTTTGTTGGGGCCTGGCAAGCTGAGTTCAATTCCTGGGACCCACGATAGGAGGAGGAAACAAACTTCGTCAGGCTGTCCCCTGATCTCCACGAGTGTGCTGCTGTGGCCCATGTACCCACATGGATGCACACCGTCCTCTCCCCACAACATAAATAAATGTAATAAATTAAAGTATCTTTGCTAATAACCTGAACTAGTTTTACTGTTGCAAACTACCACACTTGAGGAAACAAGCCTGTCCCAGCAGCAGCCTTGGGTTTGGGTTAGGAAGAGTCCCAGCCTCAACCGACCCTGAGCTTTCAAGCGGTTCTAACCCCGTGAGGACTCACCATCAAACAGTTCCAGCAGCCAGCACTCAGCACGCAGCATCTGGGTTTTCGTGGTGCGCTCTCCATGGTAGAAGTCTTGCAACATGTCGAGAGCGTCCCGAGCACGGACAGTGTCGTGGATCAACAGCGCCTCGTTGTAGCGCCTCAGGTGCAGCGCATACACCCGTCGCTGCTGGAGCCCAGCCTGTGCCGCTGCAGGTAGGGGGGTGCAGGGTCAATGTTCCTGGGATCTTCTGCTCCTAAGTCTGGCCCACCCAGACAAGCCCCGCGTCGAGTGTTGACGATCCATCCCCAAAGGCTCTGCCCAGACAGACCCTCCCACGCTGCTTCTCACCATCCTTGCTCAACTTCACCACTTGCTGCTCGTATGTCTGGGTTCCAAACTGCTGGCTCAGTTCAGGCATCTTTAGTTGTTGGTGGATTTGGCTCATAAGCTTTTTTAGCAAGTCTCCAAAAGGGTCCTGAGCAAGAAGGAGTGAGGGGATGAGGGATTCCCATACCCATGCGAGGGTTCGGTACCATGCAGGACTCAGGACATTTTCCTTGGGGGTGAGACCACCAAAGGGCCGGCCTGCTGGGTGTGAAGCACTGTGGCTGAAGAGCTTCTGCTGTCTCACTCACTTTACACCTTTGCCCTGTGGCCTGGACACAGTGATGTCCAGCCCTGGTTCAGCCCTGTCGTTACAGACATCAGCCAGTGTCACTACGGAAGAAGAGAACTGGTCCAGCCTCGACAACGAGTGCCCCAGCTTCATGGCTTGGGCTACGCGTGCCTCAAAGCACAGAAAGGACAAGTGGGGTCACAGAGGCATAGGCGAGAGGCCTGAAGGGGCGAGACCTGGGGAGGGTGGAGTCAGGGCCCAAGCCTAGCCCCCAGCCTGCCCAGTGACTCCTCACGCACGCACCTCTTTGCGCCTTTGGCAGAGGTCATACTGTTTGCAGGGCTTTGGGTTGTGCTTGAGCAGCTGAGAGCGGCAATTCTCTGGTGACATGATGCGCCACACATCCAAGTTGGCACAGAGCTGGAGGCAACAGAGAGGCATCACTGGAAAGTGGAGTCAGGCAGAATTTTGAGGGGGTGGGGTGGGGTCCTGGCTAAGAACAGGAGATCCTGAGGCAGGGCCATTGGAAGTTGGGATTCGTTTCTTCAGTAAGTTTTTTTTTTTTTTTTTATGAGTGCCCTGAGTTACTAATATTCTAGGCACTGGTGAGAGAGAGGAACTCAGACGGGAATGAACATGAAGAAACCACTGAGAAATAGCAAAGACTACATAACGGGAACACATCAGGTCATCTGAACGAACTCCGAAAATACTAACACTGGTGCCATGAGAGAGCAGTGGGGACAGCCAGGGGAGACTGTGACAGTGACAGAGCTGTTCACTGAATGATGGGGAGGAATCAGATGGGGGAGGGTCAAAAGCAAGAGCATTCCAGGCAAAAAAGAATAGTAAGTTCAAGGTTCCCACAAGCACAAGATCCGTGTAGCCACAGTATGAAGGGTAGGGTTGGTAGGGCTGGGGAGAGGCGGGGCAGGCAAGGAGGTCCCTAGTGGATCTGTATGGGAGTGCAGCGGGAGGGGGGGGGGGGGCTCGGCTGACCTGTAGGATGTGGTCAATGGCCCTTGGGAGCTTGGTGGCCCCGCCAGTGCCTGGGGAGGCGGTGAGACCCAGCACCTGGGGAAGTCGCTTTGCCTTCTGCAGCTTATGCTCTAGGTACCGGCTCAGGATGATGTTGTAGACGGTGTCCTTGTGGGTGTGGTGACACTCATCCACCACAATCAGCGAGAACTCTGGGGGCATATGGGGGACCGTTGTAAGCGGCACCTGGCACCTCGTCCTTCCAACAGTTTTTGTTCTGTGAAGTCTCCACTCTTGTCTGAAGACTCCCCTCTCCCTTCCCAACTTACGGCTGGGTCCCAGACAAGGAGCAGGCAGGGATGAAATATCTTCAATTGACAGATTAGGAAACTGGGACTCGGCTGGGGAAGGGGCTTCTTTGCCCAGGAGCATGTTTTATAACAAGGATTTGGCTTTGGCAATGGGGGCCACTCACTCCCACGCTGACTGGAGGCCTCAGGTGTTCACAGGGCCCCTGGCCTCACCTGTGAGCTCCACGTGTTCCTCCTCTTCTGGGTTGATGAGTGCCAGCTGCAGCAGCTCTGCTGTGCAGATGAGCAGGTCATGGCTCCGGGCCATCAGGCCAAAGCCAGGTCGTGGTCCCATGTCCCCACTCAGGGTTGTCATGGTCCAGCGATTATCCAACATGCGCCTGAACTCCTCAGCATGCTGGTTCACCAGGTGCACCTGGGAGTGTGAATGATGAAGGGAGAGAACCTGGATTGGGGTGCGTGAGGGAGATGGCAGGTGTTGGAGGTGGGGGTGGGGGAAGCTGGGAGGAGCAAGGTGACCCCTTCAGGACAGCAGTGGGCCCTGAACCAAGGTGAGAAGACCAGGCAGCGCTGTAGTCTAGAAGAGACCAAGGATTGTCGGGAAGAGCCAAGACCCCGGCGCGGGAAGGGCAGACCACTCACCCTGTTGACCAGTACCACCACCTTGCCACCGTCTACCGTCTCTAGATGCCTCTTGGCCACAAAGGCAGCTGCCCGGGTCTTCCCAGAGCCCGTGGGCAACCATATAATTATATTCTTGCCCTCCAGAGCAGGCAAGATCACTTCCCACTGGTAGGGCCGCAGATCCATTCTGGAATGGCAGAGGGATCAGAACCCCTGCCTTCTATCCCCTCCCCCCTCCTGGGCAGCCCAATCAGCTGCAGAAGCTGCCCTTTGCCTAGAACTCCAAGCTTTTCATGGAGGTGGGGCAGCGCACCATAGAGACCCACCTGGAACCTGCTGTGGGTAGGGTTGGGGAGAGTAGCTGACCAGCCTGATCTCTGCCAGAGCCTTCTCAAGTTCTGGAAAGCCCGGGTTGGCAGCTCAATGATCAGAAATGAAACTGAAACAAGGGGAGGAGCCAGATGAGCCAGAGCCCAGCCCATCTTAGCTGCAAAAACTAGGATGGGGCGGGATTTACAGTTACTGATAGGAACGCACTTTAATTGCTCTGGGTCCTCTAATTCCTCAGCCTTTTCCCCCAGGCAGTAGGAATCCTGCCCACCTGGGTTAGGTTTAATGCATGGAGGTTCTGACCTTGATTGCCTGGAGCAGGACCAGCCTGGAGTCAGAACGGGCAGGCATTAAGGGAAAGCTCTTGTTCTCCCTTTGCAGGTGAGACAGGCTGGAAGCCACTGGAGAAGACGTGAGGGATGGCAGCCAGGTAGGCCCATCACCCCACTACCAATTACAGGGGTCAGCAGTGAAGCTGATGTAGCCTGCAGCCAGGCTTCCAGGTTGCGGGGGGGGGGGGGGGGGGGACACGACACGGGACGGGACTGGAGGAGTGAAGGTCCATCCGCTAAGTCTGAAGCTACACCCCCACAAACAATCACATGGAAAAAAAAAAAAAGCTTTATTGTTCCCTCCAAGGGATTAATGCCAAGGAATGAATGGTCCTCGTGCCCCAGCCCTGGGGGACAGATGGACAAAACAGTGTAGGACGAGTCACAGCCCCTCACGGCTCCTTCAGTCTGGGCTGTTTCCATCCCAACGCTAATCACCAAATAGCCCTGACCCTGGGAAACAGGCCCCTGGATCGGGCTCGGAATTGCAAGCCTGCATAGCTCTGTGAGGACCAGGGCTGAGCAGTTCACCCCCTGGCCACCATACATTCTACAAGGGGCTGGTCCCAGACCAGACATCTCCCCAAGGTCGGATGCAATGAAGGCAGGATGCAGGTGTTGCAGGCTTGGGAGTGCCTGCTGGCTGAAAAGTCTGCAAGATCCGGGGCCCATGGCTGGAGTCTTTCCTGCTGAGTCAGGGATGGGAGGGCCAGGACACCCAAATGGATCTGATGAGACTGAGGCGGACGCTGGAGGTCCCAGCTGGGACTACTTGTCAATGAGCCCTCCCTCCTTGAGCTTGAAGTAGAAGAACTTCTCCAGGGCACTGGCACAGCGACAATATTCGCTGTCTGGGGGATTGTACTCCCGGCAGTTGGCGATGACCCGCTGCAGGTCAGCTACAAAGAGCTTCCGGGTCACATAGTAGCGACTTCGCAACCGTTCTGTCATGGTCTTCAAGTCTGGGTCACAGGGGAGAAGGGATATGCCTTTAAGAGGTGAAGGGATGGAACTGGGGTTGACCATCCTAGTGGGTCCTGGAGGGGTACCTGACTCCACATAGGCAGGAGCAGATGTGGGGGCACATGCTGAGGAAGAGAAGGTAGGAGGGTCCTCACCAATGGGGAAGCGGATAACCTCGTAGTAGTCGGGGGCCTCTGACTTCTTCACAGGTTCCATGAAGGGCCAGGCACTGGGGTGTGACTGGAGAGAAGAGATGAGCTGGGGACAGGCTGGCAGTGACAACTTGTCCAACCCAAGACTGCCACCCACTTCAATTACCCGAGAACAGAGAACCTGGCCTCCCACCTTGATCTGGGCCAGCAGGTTTTTGAGGGTTGTGTAGAGCTGGTCGGGGTCCTTCAGCTCCTTGCTGGAACAGGAGATGCCAAGTGTGAGGTCTGGGTCCTTCTGCCCCGCCCTCATTCCCACGCTCATTTCCCTGACTAAATACTTACCCCTTCTCCTTTCCCAATGGCTTCCAGCCTGTCTCTCCTGCAAAGGGGGCGAGAACAGCCCTAAGAATGCCTGCCCGTGCCCAAGAGTGCCCTCCTGCCCTTCCAGCCAAGGCCCCTGCTCACGAATGCCTGGGACGCTCTCCACAGGGATCTGCCTCACTCCTTCCTTGAAGCAGCTGAGTCCAGGGTAGACCTTTCGGATCTGTGCCTGTTTGCGCTCAATCAACTTCTTGATGATCTGAGGAAGCAAGGGTCTGAGGGGCCAACTCAGGTCCAATCACCCCCAAGGCCATGGTCAGGAAATGGTAACATTTACTTCTGACTTTTTCTGAGACAGGGTGAGAACCAAGACCTGGCCTGTCTCCTCCACATATACACACGCACGGTACGTGACTTTGTACATTCACTCCCGACCAATGCACACTCACAGAATCCTTTTGGATACATGTGCGCACCTCTTTTTGTTTCTTGATGATGTGGGACAGCTCTGTGTAGGGGATCCGGGGATTCAGCTCACACTCCATCAGCGTCGCTCCTTCATAGTCCTTGATGTAGCCCAGGTATCGGCTCTTGGGCACCTTGATGTCCTTGGAGAAGCCCTGGGTGAGTGGATAATTAAGACCCAATCCATCAGCAAGGACTCTCCAACTTTCACAGCCACCTCTTCAGGAGCACTTGAGAGGCAGAACGCAGCACGCTTCCTCTTGCATCACTAAACAGGCCTGTGGCAGTGCGAGAACTCTGCCTGCCTCTGGCTCCAATCCCCCAAAGGACCTGATTCCTGGCCCTGTTCTTCACTGGGTGGCAAGAGGTAGGGAGAAGAAAGGGAGTCGCATCCTCACTGGTGACAGGTGCAACAGGGGACAAGAAGGGAGTCTACTGCTGGGAGCTGCCAGCAACCCAGGGCCCCAGGCAGCAGGTGTGAGGAGACCAAGGCTCACCTGCTTTTTGAAGTAGCCAATGGCATATTCGTCAGCATAGGTGAGGAAGTAAAGGATGCTGTGTTTGATGTGGTACTCCTTCAGGTGGTTCATCAGATGCGTGCCATAGCCCTGTGAGGGGAGACGAACAGGCTGGGAAGCAGATGGGGAAGCCAAGGCAGGCGGACAGGTGAGCAGCAGGGGCAGAGCAAAGGCTTCCTAGATGACTAACTGCTCTGGGCTAGATTCTGCACTGAGCTCCTCACAGACTCACTCACCAGTCAGCCCTCGAGTAGGTATTAAAAGCCCCATTTCATAAGAAAACAAAACCAAACCCCTGAAACCCAGCTACACAAAGAACAGACCGAGGCCAGCTGACCACAGACGCAGCAGAGCTGGGTTCCAATCCAACACAGCCTGTTGGTCCCAGTCCTGGGGCTTTAGGACAATGGCTCACAGAGGCCTGCTCATGACAGCATCTGAATCCTGACCTCACTCATGTCAGGACCACACGGACATGGAGAGCAAACAGGAGAACGAGAAGCCCAAAAGAGTTTGTTGTGAAAGGAGACAGAAGCTGGGGCTGTTAGCTCTAAGTAACTGGACTAGTTCTCAGTGCCCCAAGGTCTGTAAATTTTCCTGTGAAGAAACCACAGGTCACTTAAAAAGTGTTGTTGTCTTGGAGAATAGCTCAGTTAGTAGAGAGATTGCTCAGCATGCACCAAGACCTGGGTTCAATACCCGGCACTGGATAAAACCCGGCATGGTGGTGCACACCTGTTATCCCAGCACTCTGCAGGCAGGGAGGAGAGAATCAGAAGTTTAAGGTCCCCTTGGATTACAGAGTGTTTAAGGCCAGACTGGGCTACAGGAGACCCTCTCTGAAACAAAAAATTGCCAAAGGTTCACTTAAAAAATATTGCTTGAGCCGGGCGGTGGTGGTGCACGCTTTTAATCCCAGCACTCCGGAGGCAGAGCCAGGCGGATCTCTGTGAGTTCAAGGCCAGCCTACTCTACAGAGCGAGATCCAGGACAGGCACCAAAACTACACAGAGAAACCCTGTCTGGGGGGCAGGGGGAAGCCAGGTAATGGTGGAATGTAAGCTTTTAATCCCAGCACCAAAGAGGCAGAGGCAGGCAGGCAGACCTCTGTGGGTTCGAGGCCAGCCTAGTCTGCAGAGCAAGTTCTTGAGTTCCAGGGCAACCAAGGCTACACAGAGAAACCCTGTCTTGAGATACCAATACACACACACACACGTGTATATGTATGTATATGTATTCACACACACATACATATGTATGTTCCCATACATACACACACACGCACACGGGGTCAGAACTCAGTGGTAGAATTCTTGCCTAGTGTGCACAAAGCCCAGTGTTCCATCCCAACACCAGAAAAGAAAAAAAAATTCATTGCTGATTTGGGTACCTTTTTTTTTGGTTTTTCGAGACAGGGTTTCTCTGTGTAGCTTTGCGCCTTTCCTGGAACTCGCTTTGGAGACCAGGCTGGCCTCGAACTCACAGAGATCTGCCTGGCTCTGCCTCCCGAGTGCTGGGATTAAAGGCGTGTGCCACCACCGCCCGGCGGTACCTTTTTTTTGAGACAAGGTTTCTCTGTGTAACAGCCTTGGTGTCCTGGAACTCACTCTGTAGACCAGTCTGGCCTCGAACTCACAGATGCCTCTGCCTTTCTAGTGGTGGGTCTAAGGGGCTGGACCACTAGACCCCACTCTTGGGTACTGTTTTAACCACAGGTGTTTCCTGATGATCAGTTATCAAGACCGAGCTGCCCCCTTGTGGAAATGTCTGGTCACTACAAGAAGTGCTGGCCACAGCAGTTCTGCCATTGCGGCTGACTTGGTCCAAATTCAGACACAGGTGGTGGGGATGCAGTCATGGTCAGGGCCACTGTGCTCACCTTGACCTGCTCATTGGAGGTGACAGCACAGAAGACGATTTCCGTGAAGCCCTGAGTGGGGAACATGCGGAAGCAAATTCCACCGATGACCCGCCCATCCTTGATTAAGGCCAGAGTCTTATGCTTCCTAAGAGAGAAATGGCATGTCATGGGATTTATCTGTCCTTTCCATGCTCCCCAGGTCCCTCAACCTTGAAAGAGTGAAGTGTCATCAGGGCTAAGAACAGAGGAAACAGAATCTGGAAGGTTGAGCTTGGGAGGGTGTCCAGTGTGGAGGGATGGAGAATTCAAGGTGCTCTGGGGCTAAGGGATCCCCAGGGACTCACGGGTCAAAGACGAGGCGGGCAATATATTCCTTGGGCATTCGTGGTAGCTGGTGGGAGAAGACATTCTGCAGCCCCACAAGCCAGAGCAGCACTCGCCGGTTGGCCTTGGGCGTCAGAGAGTTGCCAATGACGTGGAATTCGATAATGCCTCGACGCTCCTCCAGGCGAGCCGTTTCGTCTCGGGCTGCGTTGGCTGAAAGTAGGCTTGTCTAGGCAGGAAAGGGGTGGTAAGCCAGGGCCTCAGGAGGGTGAGGGGCCCTTCTCCAACAGGCCAGCAGGTCGGGCTGCCTACCTCAGGCCCCAGCATGGCAGCAGGGTCAGTGATGGTCAGCATGACCTCGTTGACCAACTCCATGGGGATGTCACCCATCACACGGAGGCGCTTAGCATCCTCCAGGGTGAGGTTCTCAGGAAGCTTCCTCTTCTCTCCTGCTGGGGAAGATGACAATGTCACCCAGGGATAGCAGGAAATGTGGAGGGAAGACAAATGGGGGTGAGAGGTCAGTGTCAAGTACCCACCTGGCATGGGCTCAGCCCCTGTGGAATCTAGGCTCAGGGAGCTGGTGCTGCCTCCCCCCATGGTGGGACTGAAGATGGGGGTGCTGGGGACAACTGCTGCACTGACCGTCGCTGTACGAGAGAAGAAATCAGGGACAGGGAGTGGAGGGCGTGGCGGGGTCTTCAGAAGGATCCAGACCCTTCCAGCTCTATCTGAGCCCCAAGATGTCTTCCCACCACTCTATTATCCCGGGGGCAGAAGGCCAGCAGGGTGACCAAGCAGACCCTGCAGAGCTATTGTACACCATACCTGTCCGGGGCACCAGCTGAGTCCCCTCCGAGGGTGGCATGGTGAAGCCAGACTCCCAGATAGGAGAATTTGCCCCGTAGATCTCCTCCTCCAGCATGGACAGGAACCTGTAGGGGGGGAACAACTGTCCCATGACCCCAGCCTTCAACCAAGAGTAGCCTGGGCCAGACCCCAGAGGGATGAGAGGCCAGCCAGCCAGACCCTGTTCTCAGTGGGTGGGGGCCTGGGAGAGGAGACAACACTTTCTGCTGTCTGGGAAGGCCTACTATGTAGGGGGAGTCTCAGCTCCCTGCCTGCTGAGGACCTCTAAGAGAAAATAAAAGGACAGGACACAACCAGGATACAGATTAGAGACCCAGTTTTGTTATGATGTATGACATAGGAGAAGGGGTCTGAGCTGATGCCACCCTATGCTGTGTGGCCAGGCAGGGTACTCAGTCACCTGAATTCCCTTGCTCCACCTCTGTATCCAAATGGTTTGAGAATCACCCAATCTTGCTGCCTCTTGCTCTCACATGCTGGTTCCCAGCAAAGGTTTTGGAATAGGGAGCTATGACCCAGATTCAAATGGGAGAGAAGTGAGGCACAACAGAGGTAAATGTATATTGGAAGGCCTAGAACGGAGATGGGAAATGATTCCACCGCAAACGTCAACTCTGACCTCTCGGAGCGCTGTGGAGGGAGGGGGTTCTGAGGCTGCATCCAGGTGCCCACAGGAGACTATTAGTAACAATCTACCAGGGGGGTCGGGGCGGGGTATCGTTAGCTTGGGCCATGTACCTGCCATCCCCAGACTAGCACATACTAGCAAGTAGCTTCTGGGCCATGGGCAAATCTGCCAGGTAGACACCCAGATCCCAGAAGGCCCATGGAGGGAGAGGAGGGACCAATCCAGGAAGCCTTCCTGGAAAAAAGGGGACAACAGCGAGGACATGAATTTGGGGCAAAACCCCGACAGGCCAGACCGAGCCTTACTTGGGGAAGTGAGTGAGGATTAGGGTCCTCTTCTCAGGCACCAGCTTGTCCTTCTCCACCCGGAATTTTTCCAGGAGCTGCCGGCGGGTGACTGTGAAAATGGATCGCAGGAGGCTTCGGCCAAAGACATGGGTGGTCTCATATCGGGGGAGGCTGTCGCAACTCTGGGGCACGTGGCAGTAACAGAGCCATCTGGGGGAGGCGGAGTGGCAGGTGAGGGTGGAGACCACCCACGGACCAGACACGCCTCCCCTGTGAGGCCCTGCCTGGGCTCACCTGGTATAATTGACCTTGTAGGTAGCCACATCCTCAGACTGGGACCGCTGCCGGAACTGAGCAGGTGTCTCCAGCTTCCAGTAGTTAAGGCAGAGCAGGAACATCTTGGAGAGCTCAAACATTGTTTGGCGCTCTCGGGGGGCCAGGTGGCTGAATTTGTACTGCACAAAGTTCAGTACACCCTGAGAAGGGGGGTGGGGGGAGCAGAAGGCAGCATGAACAGCCAGCAGAGCCATCTCAAATACAAGCCAAGGCTTTCCCCTCACTCTGGGAAATCCTGACCCAACTTCCACGCCCATCCCGAGGTCAGCAAACGGAGTCCCTTTGAAACTCTCTCTGTTCTCAGCTTGAGGAAGAACAGACTCTCCACCCCCTATGCTGCCCCTTCTTAGCTCTGCGGTTACAACCCATCTACCTGCTCAATGTTAGGCTTCTCAAATGGGGGGCTGCCTAGGGATCCTTCCACCACTGGTCGAGTCATCTGCAGGATGCATTTCCGCAAGAGCTGTACGGAAGAGGAACAGGGAGAAATCAGGGTAGCAGAGCTCAGAGCCAGATCGCCAACACACACAAATGCCTCACCACATTTAGTCTTTCATTCCATGAAAGCTCACCTTGAAAAGGTAGAAATAGACCTGTTTGGTGTCTGTGTCCTCTTCCTTGTGAACAGACATGAACAGGTTTTCTACATCTACTACCATTCCCAAGAGCCGGTTAATCTCATCCTCTGACACATTCTCCAGGTGGGACACATGGTCGGCTGCAAGGGTTGAGAGGAATAGATAGAAGAGATAGATCCACAGGCCTTGATTCCTGCACCTTCTCCTGAGACACACTCTGTAGCCCAGGCGGGCCTCGGCCTCGAACTCACAGAGATCCGCCTGCCTCTGCCTCCCAAGTGCTAGGATTAAAGGCGTGTGCCACCACCGCCCGGCTGATCCTCCAATTTTTGAAGGACAGGGAAACCCGATGTTCTCAGTTCTCACATCAGCCCTTGGTAGCTCCCTGCTTCTGGGCTGCAGACTTTTTTCCTTCCTTGGGACATACACATACATTCCCAACCCAATCTTTAGGGAGTCTCTCTGATTTCCCTAAGAGGCTTTATGGTACTTATGTCACCCTGTCCAAACAGGACCTAGCACCTGCCCTCCGCCCCAGCTCCAAAGACGCTGCCTGCCTTACCCAACGGGTGCTCACAGCTACGACACAGCTCGCTCAGGTTGGCAGCTGGCTGCTGAAGGTCCATGCGAGGTGCAGTGGGGGGTTTGGGGTTTTTCCAGCCATTACACTTGCAGGTTTCATTGGCCTGGAGGCGGAAGGATCAGTCAGCTGATACTGTACCCCAAGCGCCCGAGAGGCTCTGTAGCTAGAGCTTCGTCCCCATTCCCACCCGAGCCCTAGGATGCCCCCAAGCCCCGCCTCTTTCACCCTAGGCCCCGCCCCCACCTTGCAAGCTGAGAAGACCCCTAGTTTCTCAAGCTTCTTGGCACGCGGCAGTCCCCGGACTTGTGCCTTCCTCTGGCTAGCGCGCTGCTGCTGACTCAGGCCAGGTCGAGCCGGATCCCCCCCACTCCCCGGCCCCCCACTTCCTACCCCGGCCCCCCCAGTCCCTGTGCTCCCGGCTGGGGCTGCAGCAGGGGCAGGAGCTGGTGCCGGAGTAGGAGCCGGAGTGGGAGCTGAAGCCGGGCTGGGCGCAGGATTCGGAGTTGGGGCAGGGGCCGGGGACTGAAGGGGCCGGGGCTGCGCGGCCGGGGCCGGGTTTGGGGCCTGGGAAGGTTCCGCCATGGCCTCCCCCGCAGCGGAGCGGCGCCGCGCTCCCAGCCCTAGGGCCGCATGGGCAACCGGCGCACAGTGCGCAGGCGTCGCTGCCCCGGCGCACTATGGGAGTCGTAGTCTTTCCTTGCCGCTCCCCATGCCTTGGCCTTCCAGACTTTTCTGTCCTGTGTCTTGGTTACGGACAGCCAAATGTCGCTCAGTTGAGCACCCTAGGTTGACCTCTACTTTATTCTAATCTTTTTTAAGTTATTTGGGATAATGACAATTGCTGTCCTTTTGGGGACAAGAGGAACCCCGGAACACTGGCAGTTTGGAGGACTTGTGGGCTTTGCCCTTCTAAAATCCATAGGTGGAAGAACAGGCCTAGACCTGGGGGTTGGCTCCCACACTGCCAAAGTGTGCCCCAAGTGGCTGCCGACTCAGAATTGCTGTTACAATAGAGATGAAATGTAGCATTAACTCTACATTTTGTGCTGTGTGGTGTTGACACAGATGGATTAACTGACATTCGGCTTTTTTTCTGTACTTAGGTTGCTGTTAAACCAAGTTTATTTTCAAAAGCACAGCCGCATAGTTATGGGCCTTGCTGCTATAGCAAGGGTGTGTGTGTGTGTGTGTGTGTGTGTGTGTGTGTGTGAGAGGGAGAGAGAGAGAGAGAGAGAGAGAGAGAGAGAGAGAGAGAGAGAGACAGACGGACAGACAGACAGACAGCGACAGGGACAGAGAGAGGAGACTGAAATACTAAGATTGTGTGTAGACGAGCGAATTTAAAAAAACCAGGGACAGTGCGGGCCCGACACTGCAGTTCCCGACACGGAACACAGGGAAGGTCCCCGCTTTTATTCTAGGACTAGGTAAATATGGCTCGCCCAGCTTTAAAGCTGAGCAAAGATCCCTGATCATCTCCTTCCTCCCCTCCATTCTCATCCTTTCCCTGCCTCCCCCGTAGAGGATGAGAAAGGAGCCAGAGAAATATCCATTTTCTTCTCCATGTGTTAGTTCAGGACCGTGAAAAAGGAAGACCTGGAAGGCCCCCTCTTCTGGCTCAGTCCAGGGAACAATCTTCCTTGCCCCAGGCCTGATTCTTAAGAGGGCCGGGCAGGGCAGGGCTGGGCCGGGCAGGACAGGGCAGGGCAGACCTTTTTAACCTTGTTGCTCAATCCCATCTGGTGTGGAGGAGTTGAAATCCCGCATATTCAGGTGATCCAATTCCTTCACAGCCTCCTGCCCACTGGCATAGACCGAGAAGGGCCCACGGAGGAGCATGGTCCCAGACAGAAGCAGCAGTGGGAGACTAGGTCACCAACAACCGGCTGCTTGCGAGAAGATGGACCAAGCTGACTTGATCTCTGCCAGCGTTTTCCCCTCCGAATGTGAAGTGGGCGGGCCCTTCCTTTACGCACGCTTCCCTCGTGCCCTCCAGGGCAGTTGCTCTCTCGGATGCAGCGGGTAGGAAGCAGTTTCTCCAGCCGGCAAGAACCGGGGGAGAACCGGGTGGCGTCCCGATGTCCCAGCGCGGCGTCCCGATGTCCCAGCTCGACCTCAGCTGAACGAAATCAAGTGGCCACACTACCGGTGCGGCTGCTCAGGGATGATCTGGCTGTGGTGCACGGCAACAGCCGTGCGGATCCTGGTTTCCAGATGAAGATGGATGCCCACGGTTTCACTCCGGGGGAGCTGATGGTGCAGGTGGACGGCCAGAACCTGACAGTGACCGGTCAGAAGAAACAGCAGTCGAATGACCCGGTCAGGGGCAGTTACCGCATGGAGCAGACAGTGCACCGGCAAATGCAACTCCCACCGAACTTAGATCCTGCAGCTATGACCTGCGGCCTGACACCATCGGGCCATCTGTGGGTCCTGGGACAAAACCGGTCACTATCTCCCCCTGAAGCTCAAACAAGCCAGGCCTGGAGACTCAGGGGCCTCGGATCTAAGGGCTCCAACTGATCCTGACCCATTAAACAACCGAGATGTGCAGCAGTCTTGAGTCCCTCAACATTTTTTCTTGGGGATGGCAGGTTGGAGCTGCAGGATGGAGGAGGCCGGGGGGAGGCATCTCAAGCGGATAGTTAAGTACACCAATAATCAGGCTTTTGGCCCTGCGATAAACTGGAGGGAAGTGTGGACTAAGCTAACAGCAACGGCTCCAGCAGGGAGCAGCAGAGGGCTGGGATGGCCTATGCCAATGTTCAGAATCAATGGATGGTCCTGAACCAGGATGGACAGTGTTGAACCTGTCATGGGGTGCTGTGGATGACAGAGGTGGTGATGGACTGGAGCAATGGCCTTATGATCAGTCCTCAGTGTTCCTCTTCAGGGAGAGGACAAAAAGATGGGTGTCATAGTCCTAATGCAGTCCTACCAAAAACACACACACCAAAAACAAACAAACAAACAAACAAACAAACCCCCTCGGAGGTCACTACAGACACCAACAATGTTCAAATACAGGTTGCATATCCTTTAATGTAAGCTGAGGGGAGCCAGTGGTCAGCCCCAGGTCAGTCCTATCCTCCTGTACCATCAGAGGTGCCAACAGCAGAGCCTCTTTCTTTTGGTTACCATGACCACCAGCATCCTTTCACACGCAGGAGGCGGAGCCATTTGATCAGACTGGATGATTTCTTTATATTAACTTAGGTTAAAATAGAGAGGATATGTATGGCCTGATAAACTGCCAGAGAAAGACGAGGAAGACAAGTGTGAGGTCGATCGATCGGCTGACTATATTGACAAGATACTGATTGGTTACATGTTGAAGAAAACATACAATACAAAATACAGAAAAAGTTGGTTCCATCCCCTCCCACTCCCCCCCTTACCCACCCACCCCCAAATACTCATCATCGTGATTTGGTCAGAACAGGGCTCAGAGCCAGAGGTCAGAGTGACCGAGGGTGGAGGGGTCCTGGGCCATGGGTGTGTGGCTGTCACAAATGATGCTTCAGTAATGCTGCGGTTTCTCTCCCAGCTGGGAGTCAGATGGGGAGGGGCTGCAGCCTGATGACAGCCAGGCGAGGGAAGAGCTGCCTGTCCCTTCCCCAGCCCAGGGCCTGCCCACCGCCCTGGGACCAAGACCACTCCCAGCAAGGTAAGATGTGGGTGCTCTTGCCGAGTCTGCTCTCCAGCAAGAAGGAAAGAAAGGGTAACTGCTCCAACCCCTGTCCCCACAGGCCAGGGCACAGGAGTGTGGCTACTACCAGCAAAGGGCAAGTGGGAGAGCAGTAGAAAGGGGACTGGGAAGAGCAGAAGATCAAATATATTAAAAAAGTGACTTAAGACTTAAAATTGAATTAGTATTTGTACAGAAAGGTGCAGGTGGAATAACTCCCTCCGGCCTAGGATCAAAGTTATGCGGAGAATTCATGATGGACCCCTCCCCTGCCCCCAGTGGTGGCCCGAGTCGTTAAGTGCGATTGGTTAGGGTGGATTCCAGTCGGGTCATTCTGGTGGAGGAGTGGGGGCAGCGGCAGGCAGGCGAGGGGGGCTCAGTTGCTGCAGCACTGGCTCCGGCTGGCTGGGCTGCTCTCCTGCAGATCCACACCTCTGTTCCGGCCGGGAGCACCAGCTACATTCTGGGGCTCGTTCTTGGGAAGCTTCTTAGCTGTTGAGAGAAGGGGAAATGCACCTGTGGGCCCACCCCAACATCCTCCCCTAGTCAGTGACACCCAGAACACTGGAGGGTTGTGTGCCGGGTGCACTGTGTGTCTCTGGAAACTGGAGCAGAGGGGTTAAGAACTTGCCCCCAACTAGAGTGACAAGTGGCACTGCCAGGATTTGAACCAGGCAGATGAGCTAACGTCCTATGGGGGAAGGGATGGCAATGGACAGCTCTGACAAGGGCAGGGAGTACAACATTGAAACTCTGGCCAAGTTTTAGAAAGTTCTGCCCTGGCAGTCAGCTAGACAACTGTTTTATCACATAGTTTAAAATGGTGAAAATTCTGTTAGTGAAGGCACCCCACAGACCCACCAGAGACCAGCACACAGGGTTCCACTCTGCTGGGGAGAAGGATGGGCGGAGGTAAGTTACCTATTGCCATGAAAATTTCATTCACGTTCATTGCAGTCTTCGCTGACGTCTCCATGAACAGCAAACTGTTGTCATCTGCATAGGCTTGTGCTTCCTGATTCAGGAAATCAAGGAAGAGGGTGGGAGGTGAATGCTGGCAGAGGGTAGAGGCTAGGGCCCAGGATAAAATCTTCCCTGGTCTCAGGCCTTATAAAACAGACACTGACTGGGCAAATGCAGGGGTTCCAGGCTTAGGGCTACCCTGTTCTGGGTTCCCCCAAAATACCAGCATCACCTAGGCCCCACTCACACGTTCACAAATACTGGCAGATTCTTACTCAGCTTCCCTAGATCCACTCTGCCCACTTGCTCTTCACTCACTAGGCAAGACATTCTTCTAGAAAAATACCCTGCAAATATACCTACACATCTGGACCAAGGCATGAGAGCACAGGGATGCTGCCTGCAGCACAAGCCCTCAACTGTTACAAATGACCCAGGAGGTCATCAGCTAGGTAAAGGATGAGCTGCAGAGTGGGGTGTGGTGACTCCCAGCACTTGGGAGGTGGAAGAATGAGCTTCAGGAGTTCAAGGCCACCAGCCTAGGCTACATGCTACACGAGATATTTTCTTTCCCTCCCTCTCTCTCACACACACAAACACAGGAAACTGTAACATACAGTACATAGCACACTTCCATCCATCTGTATAAAGAAAAGGATTTATAAATGTGTACATTTTTGGTAAGACAAAAAACTGGGAATTCTGAGTAAGAGATGCTGAGTTTCTAGGATTAAAGAGACTAAACTCATTTTCTATACCTTCCTGGACTATTTAAGTTTACTACATGTGGCTGGGCGGTGGTGGTGCACACCTTTCATCACAGCACTTGGGAGGCATAGACAGGTGGATCTCTGTGAGTTCGAAGCCAGCCTGATCTACAGAGTGAGTTCCAGGACAGCTAGGACTGTTACACAGAGAAACCCTGTCCTGGAGGGGATAAAAAAAAAAAAAAAAAAGTACAAAAGAATTTTTTACTACATGCATACATTGCCTAAAAAAAAGTACTTCTTGGGCTGGAGAGATGGCTCAGTGGTTGAGCACTGGCTGTTCTTCCAGAGGACCCAGATTCAGTTTCCAGCACCCACATGGCAAGCAGCTCACAGCTGTCTATAACTCCAGTTCCAGGGAATCTGACACCCTCATACAATGCCCATAAAATGAAGTTTAAAAAAAAAAAAAAAGTACTTCTGGTTTAGTCCATTCAGTGTATAAGGGAAAATGTGCAGAAGCATCACCTACCCCCCCACCCCACCCCAACACACACACAAAAGACCACTGTAAAGACAGTTCCTTTGTGGCCCATGCTTAAGTCATGAGAGGGCAGCAGAAAGCTGCTGCTGCTGCTGCTGCCTGCCACCTTACAGGATCTGAGTGGCCTGTGGAGGCCTCCCTCATAGAGCCGGCTCACCCTTCCCCCCAAGTTCTGTCATCTCCTCACCTGAAACTCCACGGCTCTCTTGCTGGCCAGGTCTGCCTTGTTACCCGCGAGTGCGATCACGATGTTGGGGCTGGCCTGCCTCTGTAACTCTTTCACCCAATTCTTAGCCCGTGCAAATGTATCCTGAGGAGACAGGGTCAAAGTGTCAAAGGGACAGGAGACATTCTACTCTGGGCTACTCACTAGCAAATGAAAACTGGCAGTCAAAAGCATCTGATAAGCCATCTAAAGATTCTAGTGAGAGTCGGGCAGCGGTGGCCATGCCTTTAATCCCAGCACTCGGGAGGCAGAGCCAGGTGGATCTCTGTGAGTTCGAGGCCAGCCTGGGCTACCAAGTGAGTTCCAGGACAGGTACCAAAACTACACAGAGAAACCCTGTCTCGAAAAACAAAACAAAACAGATTCTCATGAGAGCATCCCGATGAACAGGAAATCTGCCCATATCCCAGTCGGAATAGAAGTCTGAGAGGGAGGTCTGAAATGCAGCTTTTATAATCCAATTCTTGGGGCTTTACAGAAATGAAGGGCAAGGAGTAAAGGAAGGAGAATCTTTACTGTGTTGGTGATGTCATAGACCACGATGGCTGCCTGGGCCCCCCGATAGTACATGGGGGCCAGGCTGTGGTATCGCTCTTGTCCAGCTGTGTCCCAGATCTCAAACTTGACCGTGGTGTCGTCTAAGCAGACAGTTTGTGTGAGGAAAGCCGCTGTAAGAAAAAGGTGGTGTCATTAGGCAAGGCGGAACTGGAAACCCCCTGCCTTATTTTCTGTTGCTGGTTCTGTCATGTAGAAGCCTGTCCACACTGGGCAGGTGAGGCCTGCGCTCCTGTGTTGTCAGGGAAGTGCCTGCCCTGAGCCATTTGAGAGCCACCCTGCAAAGCACAGCAAAGGCCAGATAAGGAAGGCCCAGGGGAACCCTGAGGCCAAGTCCCAAAGGGTGAGACCCCCCTGGCCTTCCTTCCACTGTCCTTCACAGACCCACTTCAGCTCAAGGGTGACTGTGACCTTCAGTGTCAGGAAGGCATGCTCACTGGGAAATAGACACTGTCACACTGCCAGGCTGCGGCTGGATGACTGGCTTTCCAACCACCCCTGCCACCTCCAGGCACTCCAGCTAGCCAGGTGGCACTTTAGCTAGCCACCATCCCTGCAGTGACCCAGAATCATTCCTGTATGGCCAGCCTGTGGTTTGAATACAGACTCTACTTGAGATGGGAACACAGGGCACTGGAGCAAATATGCTCTGAAGGAGAATCCTGGAGCTGGGACAGACAGGTAGGGTTCCCCACACCGAGGACCCAGCAGAGGACTATGACAGCTCTGTGAGGAGCCTGGGCCGCCACCTCATGTCCCCCTCTACAGCTCCTGACGGTGCTGAGGAGGCAGAGAGGAGACTGCTGACATGGCCCATTCTGTTTCCAGCTGCCTGGAAACCTCCTACCAACCAAGAGAAGAGAGAAAGATGACTCAAGTCCACGGTGGCCCTGGCCTTCAGGTTCACAGTGACTACGGATGCAAGAGGCTGAGTCCAGACCCTTATTTACATCCTAAATGCTGACCAATAGGAATCAGTGACACATTCTGAGCTCCAGAAAGGTTAAAGGTCAGCAGGAGAGATCAGGACATGCATACTGCCATGCAGAACAAAAAGGACCCTCTGAGAGGTCCTCCTGATGCCAGGTCAGTGGAAGGGGTAGTCACATCCACACAAATAATAAAGAGGCTGGACCAGAACAGGAAACCAGTTTTCAATCCCGAGCTAATTCTTAGCAGTCATGCTTTTTAGAATGAAGCATGAGGACTGACTGCTGGATT